GAGGCAGCGCAACGGCCGCGCCCGTCCCTCGCAGCGCGCTTCGAGCCCCGTTTCTGTCGTTCGGCCTGGGCCGCGGCCGCTCGCGCAGGAAAGCGGCGTTGCACGGAAGCAAAGAGGCTGCGCTCCCCGCTGTGCCCCGCTTCTGCCAGCAGAGCTAGAGCCATCCTCCATGGAGACTCTGCTTCTCCTACTGGAACATACACTGGACATTAACTGTAGTGCAGAAGCAGAGGACTTCAGTTTTGTGTGTTTAAAACGCTTTTTGCAGCTATTGTGAAACAGCACGTGTTACTGCGTGACATACTATTACCAATCTTTCTTGACAGACAGTGGAGAACAAGTTTTGGTTGATGTGGAAGATAAAACCAACAAAGAGATAACTGAGCACATTAAAAAAATCTTGGGCAAAAGCAAGTAAGTAATACTTAATAAGCTAGTGTACAGCCTCGCATCCATCATAATACAATCCCTACAAACTTTTGTGAGATATACAGAAGGAAATGCCACTTTTCCCAAACAAAATTGACATGAGCTATGTAAAGTCCACCACCTAGGAACGGTGAAGCCATCTTTCTGGTAAATTGGGTTCAGGGAAGGGAAAGGAAATGTTGCCATTCAGGCTGCAGATAGTAACAAACAAATCTCTTTTCTAGAGAAACACTTGAAAAAGAGGAAAGAGAAAGGAAAAAACTATCACATCCAGCGACTTTTGGGCCCAAGAAGTATCATCTGAGAGAATGCATGTGTGAAATTGAAGGCCAAGTTCCCTGCCCTGCTTTTGTGCCGCTGCCCAAAGAGATGAGGGGAAAATACAAAGCTGCTATGAAAAATGAAGCATCAACCTGACGTGCCGAGTCATGCAGTTGTTTTTCCTCAGGGCCCGATGATCAAGGTACTGCAGTGAGAGACAAGAGCTAACAGCTCCTAGAAACAGGAGTTCGTGTAATATAGACAACCTTGTCTCATAATTCTTACAGCTACAACTGAAATAATTCAAGTGAAGAATAAATAAAAGTTAAAACCCTAGCTTTTTTTGGTGCCAGTTTTACAAAGCATTACAGTCAACACTGCATAAAAGGAAAGCAGAACAAGGAAAGCAGAACAAGGAAAACACAATGACTAGAGCCCTATTTGCTACTCCTGCCTGCAGGTATGAGGTTATGGCAAAACCAAGATCATGTTTGCTTTGGGATAGAGAGACTAGACTAAAAAGTTACTTTGTCTTAGAAGCAGCACAGAAGCCAACAATTTATAGGAAGTGGTGTGAAAGCGTTCCTGGCGATTGCCATCTTAGATACTAACTGAAGACAGTCCAATGATAACATACCTGAAGGATCAAACTACATGTTGAATTTTAACTGATTTAGTTACCACTCAGAAACAGTTAAAAGTCTCATTTACCACAAGACACAACTTCTGTAGTTTACACTGCATCTCGGAGAAGCACTGATCAAGTCAAGAATATCAGCAGTAAAGGAGAATGTGTAAGTTGGTATTTGAAAGATACGCTTTACAATTATCTTTGTTACCCTTCAAAAAAATATAAAGCTACTCTTAAGACAATTTCCTAAACAATCTTCCTTTAAAAAAAAGCCATACAAAGGAGAACTGTGTCTAGATTTATCCAGTAAATAATTCTAGCCAGCAAGTCCATTATGCTTCAAAGCCCAGTGCTGCTGTACAGAAACTCCTCTTACGTCAAACACCCCTGCACATGGTCAAAAAAAACCTTCTAAATCATCATAGCTTCTGCCTCACCAAACAATTACACTACACCTATAATAGTATATAAACCACATGATGGATTGTACTATATTGCTTGGAATTTGGTAATTGCACATAACCTTTAAGTCAGGCTTATAAAAATTCCAAACCAATTTAAGCATCCCGTAAAAATTCTCCAGAACAAACACAGCACAAAATAAACACATTGTTTTATTTAATCTGTTTACAAAGTTTCCATACAGAGTAGTGCATGCAATTTTAACAAAAGTCAATGCTAGTTATTTATTGAGCTTTATAGTTAAGATGTCTTCATTCCTTTGCGCCTTGCGAGTCTCACAGCAGTTCAAATACCAGCATAAGGTCTTCACTGGAGATGAGTTTAGTATCAGATGTCCAGTCTATCACGTTTAACACTGACAAAGATCATGAGGTATGCTAGTCTGTTACCTGCTTGTAAAAATGCATTATTACATGTACAATGAAGATACTTTATTAGTGTATTAGACTGAAAATACAAACAAGGCAGGATAGTTGCAACAAGGAAAAGACACTTTTTAAAAAATGTGAAAGCTGAAGCCACTGAAACATTTTTTTCATGTTGATACCAGAAAAATACCCTTTGGCTTACGCTGCAGGGAGCAGTCCTCTTGCCTAGCAAGCAAGTCTGTCTTAAATAATGACCTTATAGTATTTCTGTTAAAACAATTCCGGGGATTATATTCGGCTGTCTCAACATTTACTTTGCTGCCTTTGTAAATCTGGTGCCACAGTGCACATTTTGTTGGTTTACAACCTTTCAGAATCCTGTTCCTCATTTCACTTTGTGCAAAATAACACTCAGGGGCTCGATCAACTCTAGTAAAACATCTCAGTATAAAAACTTCATGGTTTTAAGACAACCTGTTCTGTGCACCTTTCAATTTCAGATTTCGGCTACATCAAGAAGAACATCAGCTGTCCTTAACTGGCTGCTCTAAGTCATTGATCAGTTACTAGTGCTATTAAGTGAGGATTTAGGTGGTTCCACAAGTCCCTACCTCTACTTATTTACAGCAAAATAAAACTAGAGTTCCTGCTCTTTAGGTAGTGTAATTATTTGTGTCCCTAAAATACTATGCAACACGTGGGCTACAGCTATGCTAATACATAACTATCAGAGACCTAGTTAAAAGACATGTCCATAAAAGCTTACACTTTTTGAGTAAGCCCACTAGTGTTAGTGCTATACAGTGTGATCTGCCTGATTTTCCTCTATTTCAGCTTTAAATAAATACAATTTTTATAGACCAACTCCTCCCCACCACCCTTTCAAACACTGATGCCTGATGACAGACCTCTGCCTTTCAAAGATAAAAATCAGAGCAGCTCAGGCTCCATCTTTCACAAAGAAACAGGCTGACATAACCTGCAATGATCCTACGTTCCTGATAACCCGTCTGCAGAAGCCCAGCTCTAAGCCCTCCTGCCTCACAGGTGCTGGCCATCACCTAGTCATCCCCAGGACCACAGGATCACGAGATGACTCCAACTGGAGCTTCTTTTTTAAGACAGACGTGCCTGATTCTTGTAACAACTTCTGAGGGGAATCAAGCATGAAAGAGAATTGCTGGTTGGCACTACTGCAGCCACAGACTGTCTCCCAGCTTTCACAGAATTCCAGTTCAGTGGCACTTCAGCTCTTCATTGTAAACAAGATTTTTGTTCCTTGAACGCTACAAAAAGAGGGTTCCAGTCTCACTAATATGACAAACATGATCATTCTGTCACCCAGAGAATTTAAAGGAATGTGTAGATTGTAAAAGATGATTAGGAATTGGAGGGTCACCCTTTGTGTTATTTTGAAACAGTGCTAGCCTGATGCTCTTTTCCCTGGAAACAAATCGCTATTTGTGCTGGCACAAGCAGGTCTCTGAATCCAGCATGGCTCTATTACACTTCAGTTTGTGCTCAGAGGAAATCAGCACTGCACAAAACTGCTCTGCAAGACCTGCAACCTCAAAGAATCACAGGAGCCTTTTAACAGCACTTTACCTAACACCATCGGGCAATCCAGCTAGCCTGTAATACTGCACTGTGTCACTGCCAGAGGACGCAGAAGTTTTAGGAAAGTTTTCGTCTCCCGTTAGTCAAAGACCCACTTGAAAGGCCAATACTACAACAGAAAGGGGAAAAATGACAAACCAACATCACAACCATTCCCAAATCATACTTCCCTATTAGCACTTAACCACTTCGACCAAAATAAACACACGATAAGACCAGGTAGCATTAAAAGAGTGTTGACACAAGTTATGTTAGAATTTCTTAGTATAAGCATTTGAGACCAGCAGCATACCTCAATAATTCTGTAAGACTGAGTAGTAGTGGAAATGCCTAACTGAAAGTGCATAAAAGTCAGGATTCTCCCAATTCCCTCTTGTGATCTGTACTCCTCTAAGTACCTGCTCTACCTTCCCGTATTTAACAGCAGACTGGAAATAATTATTACACAGCCCTTTTACTGCTTCAGCAGTGGGATTTCTCCTTCTGCTTTGCTAACGTGCGCTTCAATTCCTTTAAGTTCTCTGTCAGTACCTCCACCTCGTCCATTCGTCCACTATGTTTGGCATCAAATATATAAGCTTTGATATTATCTATCTGTTGGAGAAGCAGCTCTTCCTCTATAGCCTCCTCTCCAGAGATCTCATTGCCATCCTCCACTTCAAAGGGATTGGTAGAGGATCCTTCCTCAAATGGATTCCCGGAATTCCAGCTGCCCTCAGGCTTTTTAAATGGATTTTCATCCTCTTCAAAAGGGTTTGTACTACTGCCAGGTGCTCCATTAGTTTGTTCATCCTCTTCATCGTTTTCAAATGGATTATATTCTTTTTTATCACTTTGCAGAGCTACATTAGAGAAAGAAATCATTGGAGAAGTGTCTTTGGCAAATGGGTTAGCAGGATCTTCCTCTAACTGAGGGCTATCTGCTTCATCTTCAAAGGGATTTAGACAGGCTGTCTGATCTTGGTCTTTGTCATGCTGTGGGACATTCTGGGGTCTGAGCGTGAAGATCAAGCGCTCTTTAGTAGGCAGCTGCTCAACAGCAGGAGTTTCAAAACTTCGCTTCCCTTTGATCTGAGTAACATCCAAATCCAACGCATGTGCTGTCAAGTTCTGATTCTCTTTTGCAACTTCATGCCGAGGCTGCTTGACTTCTCTGAAGTCTAAGGAGCGTGTCCTTGAATGCTGAGACATGAATTTGTGGTGTTCTCTTTCCCACTCTTTTTCACGAAGGACCTGAAGTTCCTCCCTCTGCATCTCTTCCTCTTCTGCCTGTTTTTTAGAAAGCTCAATAGCTTTCAGAGTTTGTTGTTGATCATATTCATCCTGAAGCTGCCTCAGGTTCTCTTGCAACATATGGACCTCGTCTATCCTATTAGCTGCCTTTGCTTGCTTAATAAAGGATGTGATATTGTCAATCTGCTGAAGAAGTGGGTCTGCTATGCCACTCTCCCTCGATATGCTGGATGTAGGTAACCAGCCTTCAGATTTCCTGACTGTTCCTTTTTTCAGGTGAGTTGCATCACCATTAACTGCAGCTGCAGATCTGGAGATAAAGTCTTTCTGCTTTTCCTCTTGTTTTCCATGTGTTTCGAGAGCCACCTAAAACAAAAAACACGTAGTAAGAGAACACCATGAGCTTGAAAAATTCCATTCTAAATATCCATAGGTACAAGAAGTTAGCTGATCTTTGACATTGCTGGATGACACTGAAAGCTATTGGCTGCATTTTTGGTTACTTTGCAGAAAGTGATGATTTTCATAATATTACCCAAATGCTTCCCTTCAGTTTGTGATGATACTGATCAAAATCCCATGACATCTGCCTCTACAAACTTGTAGGCAAGAAGGAGCAGTGACAGTGCTTTCTATAGGGGAAAAAAATGCTTAATGCAACTGTGTAAAGAGTGGTCTAGATCGACTGGCACAGTAACCGCATCGCATCTGACTACAGCAGACACCTGTAACAGAACACCCGTGTTAAAGGTCACTGCTATCATTCGCTTTTAGAGTGAACGATTCTTATTTCTCAGCTTCCACCTGGTGAGTCAATTTTACCATTAATGATGTCCTCCCTCCGAACTGAAAAACCCCCTCTCTCTCTGAGGAGGCATCCGTATTCTAACGTGTCCTTTCTCACCACTGGAAGAAGTCTACGAATTCTACTTGTGCAAATGCACTCCAGAGCGCGATCTGAAAATCCCCATAAACGACCACATTTAGTTTAGGGCTTGCTCTGCATGCACTGCAGCAGACACAGCATGTGCAACCGAGTCACTGCTGCTTTCTAGAAGCGTTCAGCTGTTCGTACACACCTACTTATGTTCTGGATAGAATACAATGACGGCGTCACATGAACCCCTGAAAAAAGGTGTGGAAACATCTGCATAAAAAACCTGAAAAACTAAATCCAGTGTTAAAGGCAACTATTCATACACGCACAGCTACTAGGCTTAAGCCCTTGAAGGAGGCCCTGATACAAGATGTAACACAACCTATCTTACCATATGCAGTCTTCTCTTCTTCAGTTCTTCATACTGATCTTTGGTTGGCAGGGACATCAGGCCGAGCAGTTTTTCCTGGCAAAAATTTAAATATTTACAGTGTTTGTTGCTTGCAGGCATTCAGCCCATTTTCAATTACTTGAAAAGAGAGATACCACCAACAGAACACCCCTCAAACAAATAAAAGGCACTTCTACACTGCAGTCACTGCTGCAAGTCTGAGCATGTCTTTGCTGCTGTAACTATGCTGCTAGTTAGGTTCACACCTCAGCAAGAGACAAAACCAAGATTCGCACATTCTCTTCCGACCTTAAACTCAATGCTGCTCCAACTACACTATCTGTATTCAAGCTAGCTCATTTAAGGCTACAACACATCATTAGGGGAACTACAGAAAACACATGGAACTAAACCTCCTGCCAAAAGAGTTTCAAGCCACAGAGATGCCTGGCAAAGAAGAAAACGCTATATAAAATTTACATTCAGCTCATAACATATGCTCCACATACCTGAACAAAAAGCGTAGCTGAATATCTTATCATTCTCTGAAGCTGTAGTGTTTTAGGATGAGGTTGGGGATCTTCACGCAAGCCTAGACTCAAAATCTTCTTACTGAATCAAAGCAAACATACAGCCTCATCAGTTCAAAAACAAGGGCGAGCAAAAATGCAACAGAAGGGGAGACAATATTGGACGAAAATTCTGATGTTCTTTTAGGTAAACACTTTCCACTCCCACTTTTAAAAAAAAACCAACACACACTATTTATTTCCCATGTAGTTGGTTATTTCCACTGCAGAGGAACGCATGATTTTAAGGCTGGAAAAGGAAGTACAGATTGAAGTGCACAGGAACAGCATCTATCTTTTCACATCCTCTGTACAACTGAGCAGACAAATTGATTATCCATATGAATAAGGAGGTACATGGTACACAAACAGACACCAACAGTTGAGAAAAACCACAGAGAAATTGTAACAGCGGGAGATACACACATGCTGGGTGGGGGGAAGGGAAGAGCGATCTTTTACCTTAAGGCATCTATAAATTCATACACTTTTTGAATCTCCACCCTCAGGTCGTTTGCATGTTCAAGACTGTAGGTCGTCTCTCCAGCACTAAGAAATAAATACAACTTTACTGTAAGTCATGCATCCAGCTAACAACACACGGAACACGAGACGTTATCCCAAGGTAAGGAAGATTCAACAATGCTAACAACAGCTAACACTAGAGGGGTTGAATGATTTTATTAGAAGCTCATTGTGTTTAAAAACTCCTTCGTGACGGAAGCGGAAAATGACAGCCATCTGGTGAACACGAACATTTCCTAGGAGATCACTATATTTATGATTGTATTATCATTTATTATTATAGAAGAAACTCTATTTTAACACAAGAACACCACTCTACCAATAATATCTAAAATATACACATACTTAGCAAATGCATCTATCCGGTGGTTTTTCCAGGCAACTGAGTGTGGAAAAAGCAGTGACGGACTGAGTTAAGTACCTATACCATTAAAGTAAAATAGTTCTCTCTAACGTTTGTCAGAGAGCAAAAGCCTACAACCCCACATGGGTACAATATTTAAGACACTAGTAAGTGTCCACATGGGGACACAATCAATTATATGCACTTTACTAGAATCTCATATTTACAGATAAATTAGGATTTAACAAGGAAGAGTCTTCACCAGTTTTTGGCCTCCCTCTCCTTTTATATCACAAATATAAAAGATAAGGATGACTCTCTCAAAAGCAACTTCACTATCCATAGGATTCCAGTTTCTGGGACTCGCTAGTAGTGAGAAATTTTTCATTTCATCAGTAAAGAAGTCTGTTGTTTTCTGACATGTGCTTCCGTTGTCCAGGAAATTCATATTTTTATTTTCTCCAGTTGTCAAGCCACATAACACCAGCCCCCAGGAAGCCATGACAAAAAGCAGTAACAGCTTAGCATGTTTTTCACCTTCTGTACTTCTTTCTTCCTTTTGGGAGGTGTGTTTTTACCAAAACAGTTCTGTTACGATGAATGACAGCCTAGTTTTTCTACAACTGTCAGATCTAATGGACAGGTACAGAAATATTTGTTAACTTTAACTTCCCAAATGGACATACTTCATAGCCTAAGATCAATGTGTGTATTTCTCTACTGTGCAAGCCAGAAGTATAACCTGACAGCCTCTTACAGGTACAGCTGGAGAGGTTTACCTTACCCCAGTGAGAGAACACTACGACAGAAGTGGTATGTGAATGCACAGCGCAGGGCAGCCGCATTTGGAACAACTGTCAGGTGAAGGTGGCTTGCTTTCCACAAGAACGGATGACAACATTCAAACGATCCTGTGCTGGGGGCACTACTTGGAAGCCAAACCATCCAGCTGAGGGCAGGAATACCCTACTTCAACTGTTTTGAAGAGGCTCATTTACATAACAAGAATTGTAGCCTTGTATTTCCTTTTTGCAAAGGTGACATGTCAAAGTATGACAGTGGCAACTCACTGGGAAATGGCTTTAAAAAAAATGAATCAGATTACGTTTCTACATGCAGTGTTACAATTAATAACTAATTCAGTACTATTTTGAAGAGCATCCAAAAGACAACAGATATCTAACACTGCTTTTTCTTAAAATTTTCTTAAATTTACGCACTCTTGTCTTAGCATGCCACTTCCTTACTCCTTCCCACACTTCTGGAGAGGAAAAATACATATATTCATAAACAAAACCAGTGAATGGGGCTTACTTCAGTGATTCTGCCATCCTTATGTATTCTGGTGCCTTCTGGTCAACCTTCTCCATGCAGAGTCGAAGTTTCTTGTTTAGAACAAAGCGTATGAAAAAAGAACTTGCATTAAAACTGATGCAAGAACATGCTGATGTAAACATTTCACGCTGCCTGTGCACATTCAGAGTTAACCATGATGAAAGCCATTTAACTATTCAGGATGACAAGACTCTCCAGTTATCTTCAGAACACAGATGGTGTGGTCAGGAACAGAGAAAGATTCCCTGTAACCCTGCAAGGTGAATTTTGAATTCAGAAGCTGTTTTAATGGATGACTTGGACAACTTCTAGTCTTAAATCTCTTCACAAAGCGCACCAACAGAAACCCCTATAATACTAACCTGGGGGGGTTGTAGACTCTTCTGAAAAGATACCTGATGATTGTCAGTACCTGCTTTCAAAGCATATTTGAACACAATGTTCCCACCATGCACTGTTGATTGATGTAGATGGTTCAAAAAAGCATTTGTTATCAGTGTGAGGACAAACAGTGCTGACAACACTAAGTCCTACAGTTCCAGTGCAGCCCATCAACAAAGTGCACAGCGTATCAATGGGTTAAGCAAGAACTGTTCTGAGGAATCCCAGCTGATACAATTCACAATTTTAAGAGACAGTCATCTCAGAACTATTAGTTCCAGATTATGAGAATGAAGATGTATCTTACAACGATGTTTGAAGTTACTGTGGGATAGAAATACTATACGACAACTGGCTCCATCATTTCAGGTACATCTTTGTTACATGGCATCAACACCCATTGTCTTAGGTGTTGAGAGAGTCTATTCTAACACAAGTGAGTATTAAGTCATGAAGTAATTTGAGCTTGGACATGAGATAACAGGCCAAAAGTCAAGTAGTGACAACTGCAGATACATACACCGAGGATGAAAGCAGCAAAGGGTTTATTTACCTCGTAGAGTTTCACAATCTCTGGAGTGTATTCCTTCTCATCAATCTGTTGTTCTCTTTTCAACAGAGTATCTTTGCAGTGCCGACAACAACGGATTCGGTCATCATCCTTCTCATCCAGAACTGAGCTCACGCTGCTTATGCTGCTAATGCTGCCACGGCGGGACCCGTGGACACTATTAGGTGAGGAGTTGGGGCTAGTATGAGAAGCCAAGGACTCTTTGCTGGCACTAGTGAGTTTACCTAAAAATTATACATAGGTATTTTTCCAGTGATTGGAAAATAGTCAACGGATTTTACCTACACAAACAAATTGCACTTCAATAGAAACTTTACATTCAGTTAACAACAGAAAACCAAGTTGAAACAGTCTGCTGAAAGACATGCAAGGAACCTCTAACAACCAAGACTGCAAGTCATAATTTGGGTCTTAGCTGTAAATCCTGCTCCATTCTAAAAGCAGCTAGATAGCAGCCTGCTAAGAACCACCTACTCTGCTTATGCCTATAGGCACTCTCCTGTTGGATCTTGCACAGTTATAATGTGTGGAAGAACAGGTATGTCAATGCTGACCATGTTTTGTGCTTGAATGCTCCAAAAAGTGCAGTTAATGTCATTTATTTCCACAGAAAATACAGTCTCCTCTCCATCTCGCTAGATGAGGAAATTAAAGTTCAATGGGTTTCTTAAAGGCCTGTGAATGAACTTCCTTGATGTCAGCATTTGGACAACCATGGGCAAGACTGGAAATGTCCACAATAGTTTTAAATGTCAAGAACCTTGGCAGTTTTAATTCCTAAAGTTAATACTTTCATAGTTATGGTACTCGGCAGAATAAGACACTAAATATTGATTATATTTACTAGTAGTATATACTGCTACTACTTCTCCTAGTAACTTTTTCAGTGTTATGTGATGCTTCCAAATCTGAAGAAGGAACAGAGATAAAGAATGGAGAAATTAGTCTTCTTACTCTGTTTCACAGACAAGTATCTGCATGAAACTGAATGACACATTAGGGACCAAGTTTTCTGCACAGGCAGAATATTGCCAGCAGCTTTTTCTCTAACAGCAAAAAGCCAGAATGCAGTTAGCACCCTGAGTGAGGTAAGGAAAGAAGGAATTAACACTACACGCTACACTTACTTGCCAAAGGAAGGCTGACAAGTTCCATGCACTTCTTGCACATAATAGACCCACAAAGGCGGCAGTGGTGACGTCGGTTTCGAATACTGAACTTATTGCCGCAGTCTGGACAGAACGGAACATCCTGATCACTGACCCAAGGCACAACAGACTTCTCTATAGCTGTGATCGGGCAAGAGGGGAGGGAATACACACAACGTAAGGTAAATTTATTTACCTTATGGTTAAGGTTAATAACTTAACCTTATTGGTTAAACTACAGGAGCAAAAGCCTGAGGTAAGCTCATACCAACCTCTTATTTTAGCTGAGTCTGTGTTTGCTCTGTCAAATGATGTAAGCTGGTAGAAGAGAAAGAATACATTCAAGAAAATTGTACTTTTGCAAGAAAAAAAAAAAGACTAACACAACCCAGCCCAACAAGAAAAAAGAAACCTGACATTTTTAAGAGATAGGAGTCAGCTTGTTTTACACCAGATTCCCACAATTTTCCTATTTATTTCTAATGCCATATTTATACAAGTAGTGCTAGACAATAACTGCCAAACCTGTACAAATCAGAGCATTTTGGACATAATCCTTACAGCATCCAGCATTACAGCATCTGAGCCAAAATGTAAGTATATCATTGGTAGATTTTGAAGAACAAGAAGCTGGAAGAATCATGACAAAAACGTTAGGGAGTAATTTCGCAAAGTAAAAGATGGAGAGAACATACAGGAAAACAGGTTCTTGAAGCATGTGGAAGTAGCATCTTCAGCTTGAAAATAGTACAGAGAAACAGAAATCATATCCACAGTACAGGGTCAGACCAAGCACAGTACTCAAGGATGAAAAAGGCAGAGAGTCATAGTTGACTATGCTCTATGCACATATCAAGTGCACTGCTAGATAAATGGGCACACTTCATACTAAAATACTTTTTTTTTTTTAAATCTAGGAAACATTCAGAAGGCTGGAATATTAAAAAGCAGCAATTTTACCTTTTCTAATCTGATTATTAACTTATTGACTTCAACTACATAGTGATCAATCCTGGCTGCTCGGTGTTTCTTGAAATCAGAAAGATGGCTTCTCATAGCACCTGGCAAGATAGCAGACAATTTTCATAGTTACCCAGGTGTTCTTTATGGATTTAAATACATTTAATGCCTCTTGAAGGAAAGCTGTAACTTCTTTTCACCATTTACTTCTCAGGTTCAGATCAAATTTTAGGGACACATTAGAGTCCTACATTTTCATGGTGCTGCTCTAAATAAAACATGGAAGGTTAAAGCCTCAACTCCAGGCTACCAACAAACAGTGTTTTATTTCTACTACAGAAAACAACAGGCACTATGTTAAAGAGAACATCTGCAACATTTTTTTTTCCTCCTCTTCATCCCTCAGTTACATTTGGCAAGCTATTATCAACCCGTAGTATTCCCCAAACCTTTAGTTTTCTGCCTAAATGTTGAACGAAGGGAAGAGGCAGGTCCAATGATTATTGGGAGGTCAATGCAACAGCAATTTCTCTTTCAGACTTCTGATCATCCTTCCACCTTCAGGGGTGGGTCTGAATCGAATCCTTGATGACAGTTCAGGTTTATAGAAAACTGATCACCAATTATACAAAAGAACAGTACAGCATCTATTTAAGAAATGTACAATTCATACTTGACAACATTGGTTTCAAGGTTAAGTTTTGATCCTTTTCTGAGTAAGATGAGCCAGGTATTAAAAATCAAAGTTACAGATAAAATAAGGATAACAAATAAAAATCTTCCTTCTGACTGGTAGAACACAAAATCAGATGTTGCTTTTTGATACTACCTGCGTAAGTGAAAGAATCTCACTTCTCATGCTAATGAAATAACCAAAAAACCTCCAAAGCTGAATTCACAGGAATGAAAGGGCCCCTCTGGGTAACTGAATTCAGCCACTGCTTTGGAGACATCACGTAGTCCCTTTCACGAACCCACCAAATCCCATCCTAAAATCCGTAAGGTTCATCTCCACTCTTATCAGAAAAAAGTTCTCACTTCTCTAACGTTCAGAAATCTTCTGCTAGTTCGCTGCCTAAATTTATTCTTCACTAATATTTATTCTACGATTGCTGCTGAAATAGTTACAAAGTCAGAAGTATAATAAGCTGCAGAACTCGGACTCTGCAGACCCAAAGGACTAAGTCCTAGTCCTAGTAGCACAGGGAGACTTTCCCAGGATCCACCAGAGACAGTGCTGCTTCCTCCCTCTGAAAGCAACCATAATATTTCAGTAAGAGGCAATCTCCAGTAGCAGTATTTGTAATTACAGACTCAGTCAACTTGTCCTTGAAATTCTACAAATGTAGATTTATATTCGGAGGGTTGGGGTTGTTTTTTCTTTGTTATGTGTTTTTTTGCTTGTTTGGCTTAAAAAGTAAATCTCTTTTCAATGAGATGATCTACACCTCCATTCCAAAGAAAAAGCTGAAAAAGTTTAAATCAATGGACAAGCTTTTTGTCACACACGTAAACTAACTACTTTAAGTGTGGCCCAAAAGCTGGAAATTTACATAGCTTAATTATTAATTAGTGCATTATCTGCTTTGTAAAAAGCCACAACACGGTTGCAGAACACCTCAATGAAGCTAGGTGCACAGAGGTAAACAGATATCCAGCAGCAGGCCTCAACAGCTCAGGCACAGTGACATGACAAACTGTCCTGCTCTGAGATTAGCTGGGGTACTGATTCTATACCTCCCCCCCCATTATCTGCATCCTCCCACACAGCATAGGCAGGCTGCACGATCCATAACCCCGTGCTACAGCGAATCAAATCAATATGGACAGGATTCCATGCAACTTTGCCAACACTGTAGCACTTTCCCAATTAAGATTAAAGAAAAAGTTATCCCCCTTGCGTATTGCTTTCTAGCTCTCCTACCTACTTCCTGGGGCTCCCACATGTATGGATCTACTCCACCATAGCTGAATGACTCATATCGTTCCTGAGATCCAGAACCAGTTCTATCATCTCCTTCTCGTTTCAGCAATTTCATCTTTGCTCTTTTGGCCTTCTGGACTAGATCTGAAAAAGATAAACCTAAGTAATCAAATGTGGCAGATTTTTGTCACATGAAACCAGTATGGAATATTCTTCGTCTTCGAGCCCAAGTCTTCTTCCTTGATGACAAGTTTATCCTCAACACGTTCTGTTTAGAAGCAGGATGCAGTTCGGAGAATCACGGATGACACGCAGTGCTCTTTGTGTTCTGTAGCACTAAGGTCTGCATGACATAACAGTAGTTTTTGACACCACATTCAGGGATTTCATTGTAACACAGTGAGCTGTCTTAAACTATGGGACTTGCTTCACAGCGTTCTGGGACATCATACACAGATGTATGATAATATCTTAATTCTCTTAATTCCCAATTATTATCTTAGGATTCAAGGACATTCAACACTGTCTTTGTCTTCAAACTACAAACTAAGAATTTCAGTGTTCTTGTACACCTAAATAATTTCAAAAGTACTAAACAGCCCACGGCATTATCTCATACGAATGCTAGTGAGAGAGGACAGTCTCCTGTGCCAAAAAAAAACAAACACCAGGAACTTGAAACTTCAGAGCTTTCATTGCCCTTGCAGCTAAGTTCCTCTCTGGACGCCAGCAGAAGTTGAGGGCACTACTTTTCTTGCCAAACACATCCAGTATCTCATTGAACTAGACGTTTTATACATCCAGCTTTCTAAAAAGCTGCTGGAAATCATGAGTTAGCGTGTCCTTTCATATTTTTAACTTTCTTATTTAGTGTCCAAACCACTGGAATGTCCACCTTGACCTTACTGGAGGTCATCTCCCCTGAGCTTCAGCCACTAGGGCTGAGCCAGCAGGCCCCTCATGTAGACATCATGCTTCCTAGCAGTTTTTCAGCTCCTGAAGTTATGCTGCCTCCCAAAAATGACACTGTGATATAAAACACACTTCTCAGCAAAACCGTGTCAGGTTGGCAAGAGCTTTGCTAGCACTGTAACATCATCTAAGAAATAGTGTTTCTCCTCTCCCCACCTACTCTCAAGCCAGCACAGCAAATGCCAGCTACACACTGCAGTTTCTTAAGTGAAGATTACACTATCTAAATAGAAAATACTCTTGCACTCAGGACTTTGAAAGTCTGACATACTCCAAAAGTAAGGATGCCTCATGGCTTTACCATAGACACAAAAGTCTTTCAAGCAAACTTCATAATCTTGTTTGACATGAAGTCAAATTTAACCACCTCAGTACGACTCAACTGAAGTAATAAGGTGATGTGTAAGCATTTCTAGAACTCCACAATTAGGATAGCTGGAGCTCAGCACAAAGATGTGCAACCACTTGTGATGCAGTTTGAAAACCAGTCCCTAAGCCAGGTAATTTACATAGGTGACTCTGCCGGCCTTCCTTCTAGAATGGACTTCACTGGATAGACCTTGACACGAGTAACTAGGACAGAGAGCAAGCAGACAAAAGCAACATCCCTTATGCAAGAACACACATGAAAGACAGCCTGACAAGTCAAGGTACGCTGGTTTAGATTAAAAGAACACTGAAGAGAGAACAAAATAAAAATGCAGGTGTTTTGTACTATATAAAAGAAGTATTTGGGAAATTTTACCAAGTCTAAGTTGTTCTTTTCTTTCATCACAATGAAAACCATATTGTTGTTCTGGTTTAAATGCTCTGTGGAAGCATCTGTGATTCAGCTGTGACAGCACTGTACTCATGATGAGAACATGACTGCAGTACTGACCAGTCTACCTTCGCTGGCAGAAGAAAAGCACAATGCTAAAAGCCAAGTAGCGGCCAGACTGATGGAAAGCAACCCAAAGACTCGTGACATATTCAACTGTACTACCCTTAAGATCGGCTTGTCAGAAACACACACTTTTCACTGAGAAAACAGACTTTTGTAGTAATAATCATCAATCTCAGGAGAAAAAAAAAAAAAGTAAAAAGTCAAGACTTCCAGGCCAGTCTCTCTAGTATAATAAAACAGCCAGAAATTTTTTTTTGCAGGGAACACACAGAATTATCACCAGTTTTTGCATATTTTTCTCTCAATGTAAATTGACACTGTGTACACAAGCGGGGTAAAAAAAGGAAAATGTTTCAGTTAAACAGAATTCAAGGGATTTTTCAAACACCAGTTAAGAGTTGGTAATCCATAGCACAACCCCAGGACACTCTCAGCATATACGGCCAGCCCCACCACCCACATTCTCTTCCATCTTTTCCCACCAACAATCTTCCTAACTTTAACCACAACTACAGTTTTATCTACTGTCAAAACAAGGGATTAATCAATTGGTACCTGGCAAACGCCAGAGATTCCCCATGTTCTGCAAGGTCTTCAAGTAATGCCTGGGAATTCATCTGGGTTACAGTATAAATCAGAGTTGTCAGATAAAAACAAGCAAAACCCCCAGAAGGCCAATAATAAGAATGATGCATAAAATCAGACATTCGAAGAGTGCCGTCTTTTTAAGTGTCTGCTCCAACAGGTAAATTCTAAAGCATCAGAAATAACGTAGGCGTTATTGGCCTAAGGCCATTAACCCCTTCCCTCGCTTGTGACTCAATTCCATCGGGTTTTAGCCGACACTCTGGC